CAGGTCTTCCCACCTCTACATACACACAATCCATCAATTATCCAATCACTTCTCAGTATCTCGATATAGCGCAATTTTCAGAACCAATTCTTAAAATCCTATAACTCACACTTAAGATAATTTTTGTCAAATTTCCAAAGATCCTGGATTAGTCTCCCACTCAACTTAATCCTCATTGATTAATATAAAATACCTATTTAACAACCTTAGACTTCACTTAGGCCACATTTTCCAAAAAGTAAAATTATAATGGCAATAAACAGGAGACACTGAGGCCCTAGTCTGGGGATCTGTTAACTCCTTGTGTCAAGTGGAATTTCTGGCTAATATGAACCCTTTCCACTTTGTCATTTTTCTCACTTGCTACCTTTTCCATGGTAAAACTATGGTTAAAGTTGTTATCTAATCCAGTACTAAGTGAGGTGGAGTAAGCACATTCTGCCCTCTCTCTCTCACTGATTACAACTAAAAACTCTGCACAGCTGCTGAGGATTCTGGAAAACAAATAATAGCAGCAATTTGGGCAGGGAAATCAAAACTCAAAGAACAACCAAAACCATTGTGAGTTTCTTGGGTATTTTTTCTTCCAACATTTCCTGGCTTAAACTCAGGACGGCTCTTATCCTGAAATTGCATAGATGGAATGCATAGAATAAAGCTCCAAAAGAAATCCTTGCTTTCTGACCTTAGTTGGAAAGGAGGTTCCTGCGGGATAGAGACTGTGGGGGGAATCTCCACTTTATTTCCCACCATTTTTCCCCCTACTGGCCCTGCCTCATGGCAACTTTTAGTCATGAAGCTGTATGGCAGTGGCAGCAGAGACTGCTGAAACACCACCAAAAATTCTGAAAGAAAATTCTCTCTTGACCAGAGGAAATAGGAAAAGGGTCCTCAGTAGCCTTAAAAGAGTATTGATAGAACCTATTATTTTTTTCTCTGCTTTCTCTTGTCACTTTACCCTGGAAGTGGATGTAGTCATGAGAAGTTTGAGACAGTACACACAGGGAGGCAAGAGCCACAGCATTCTAGCCACAGAACTGGAAAAGGGGGCTGCTGAGAATCAGAGACACTGAGAGAAATCACAGAGAGGAGGAATCTCAAAAAAGAGATCCCTAAATCTGTTTATAAAGTCTTCTCTGAGCTGTACATGTGTTGAACTGATCCGAAGTTACATAGACAAAAGGCCTTGAAAACTTGAACTACAGTCTTAACAGTAGTGCAGACACAAGGATACTCAACACTACAAAGACTTTGAAAACTGAAATTACATTGAAACCATAGCCGTAAAAGGCAGGGTAGGATGTGCCGTCTGAATATAAGTGGGTTGACTACCTACTTAAATAAACAAAAATACCAACCTTTTCCAGAGGATTCTAATGAGACTGAGAATCTTATAATTTGTCTAAAATGCCTGGGATACAATCCAAAGTTACTCAACATACAAAGAACAAACACAATATCTACAACATTCAAGGAAAAGGGCAAGAGATGCCAACTCCAATGTAGCCAAGATTTTGAAATTTTCAGGTAAAAACTTTAAAGCCATGATTATAACAATGTTTCATTCTGAAGTATATTCTTGAATCTAACAAAAAGATACACACAATTTAAGTACAGTCATCCCCTGTTATCTGTGTGGCATTGGCTCCAGGAATCCCCACAGAATTAAGTCCCTCATATAATGTAGTATATATGGTGTAGTATTCGCATATAACCTATGCATATCCTCCCATCTACTTTAAATAATCTCTAGATTACTTACATATAATACAATGTAAATGCTATGTAAATACTTGTTCTACTGCATTGCTCAGGGAATAATAACAAGAACAAAAAGTTTGTACATGTTCAGTACAGATGCAGCAATCCATTTAAAAAACTTTTTTTTTATCATTGGCTGGTTGAATCCATGGATACAGAACTCACAGATATGGATGGTCGACTGAATGTCTACTCATCCCTGACACATGGTAGAATCTGCACTCTGCTTTTAGATGAGGGATTCTCTGCCCTAATTCTCCCACATTAGCATTTTGTGGGGCATTTAAAAAAAAATCAATATCTGCCCCAACCTTGTTATGAACCCCAGGGATTCTTACTTTAAAAAAAAAATGCTTTCACAGATGACTATATTGGATAGCCAAGATTGAGAACCAGTATTTTAGATTGTCTCTGTTCTACTTTATTTCTCAGGTATCTTGTTTGCAATAGCTTAATACGTAAGCTCCCTCAAGTCCTCTTGGAGGAACTATAGTAAAACTCTTATAATAGTGTCTGTTGCTCTTTATATGATCTATGCACAACACATTTCTCTCATGTTACATGTGTATGGGCCCCACTTTACTGATTTTTCACTTCCTTTTTAAGCTGATAACATATTAGAACAGCAACACTGAAGCCCAACCACCTATCTCAGGCTATTTTATGCCTTTCTGGGACAATTGCAGCTCCTGCATTCAAAGAAATGATAAACGTCTACAGACTAAAGCCAATATCTAAGCCATGTTCCCAGCACTTCCAACAATGGCTAAGATTTCCATAAAAGGAAATTGGGGGGGTTATGAAGTGAACATCCTTTTTCCTTCTCCCATCATTATATCTACTGTCAGAAAAGGATTTGTAACTTATCCCAATTCAGTCAACAGAGGGAGGGGCAGATAGAGCTGACATTTTTTGTGAGTTAAAATGGCTGAGCCTTTGACCATCATTTAGTGGTCAAGTCAAGGAATCATACTTGGCAAAAATCATGAGCCTAAGTGTCATATAACAATTCTTCGAGACTACAGAGCACCGATATCTTTATTGTAAGATGCTATATGGTTGTGCTTTATCCCTTGAGGATTTCTAGGTATATCTAGTGTTTAGTGTCCAATGAAAGACTAAGTATTTTAATTTGCCTTGGCAGTTTATCACCATCTTTGAAGGAACCAAGGATATTCCTGGCAATGAATCTTCCTCAAATGAAGACATTTCAGGTACAACATATACTATCCTTTTAACAATTAGCATAATAAAGCTCTTAACTGCATCATATTAAATTTAGAATTTTTGATTACCCTCCTGGAAAGAGTGGCTCTTCCCTTGCATATTATCAATATAGG